TTGTTTCATATTTTTGTGGTTTAAAAATAAAATACATATGGTTCAGAACGGATTAACCGTATTTACATTGAACCTTACGGGGAAATTTGACTCGGGTCGCGACCAAAAATCGGTTGGCGACCAAATTTGGAGGGGTCAGAACGGATTAACCGTATTTACATTGAACCTTACGGGGAAATTTGACTCGGGTCGCGACCAAAAATCGGTTGGCGACCAAATTTGGAGGGGTCAGAACGGATTAACCGTATTTACATTGAACCTTATGGGAAAATTTGATTCGGTTCAGGACCAATTCGGTTTGCGACCAGAGTCGCGGAACGAATTAAGTTCGTGAACCGAGGCACCACTGTATTTTTGAAAGCATTCTTACTTTACAGCATTTTTTCACACCTGCCTAAAACTTTTGTGAACCGAGGCACCACTGTATTTTTGAAAGCATTCTTACTTTACAGCATTTTTTCACACCTGCCTAAAACTTTTGCACAGTACTATATTTTATTAAGGAGTTAAATTATTTTAATATTTGTAGTAATTAATTACAAATGCAATTTAATATGAAAGCTTTAAGGTTTCTTTTAAGTATATTTTTAATTTGATCTGAAATATCTTGGTTTCCTCCACCTTTACCATGTATTATCTTTATTAATAAATTGTACCCAGCATATGACTTCAATAAAGGGATTTATATAGATGTTTTCTAATACTGCTTTTAACTATAAAAATGAGTTTGTTGAATTATAATAGAAAGTTCTGGTCACTGGATCTATTTGTATCTTGTCCTATCTTATTTGTTTAGAATTTATATATCGTATATGGTAATCTAAGTCCACAAGTATAACTTCTATTGCAGCTGTAATCCATGAGTTTCTGTGAAATAATTTGTGTTCAATTCTTTCAGAATCTGTGAATTGATTGGTGTCTATGATGAAGGAAATTTTAGTTTCAAAAATGCCTGGACCTACTTGGTATTTTTCAACAATATATCCCAGCTTGTAAGTGGTGAAACATTGATATTATTTCTGTTTACATTGAGGTTAAATAAGTTTTTGCACCTATTATTTTAAATTCAGATTCTTGATAAGAAAATTATGCAAGTACAAAAATAATAAATCTGAAAAATGCAAGAAGTCATATGTATTTTCTTAAGCAGATAAATCTAGAATTAGATTTAACATTTCATAATATTTAAGTTCATGATGTTTAATGTCTGGGGGAGATGGGCGGCATACAAATTTTATAAATAAATAAATGAATGTTTGCGGGATTGCATGCAAGTCTGAGAGATTTATGAAAGGAGATCGGTGGTAATGATACTGTATGTGATCGTGATTCTGTGTGGAATAGCATTTAGTCTTCTTTATCTCTCTTAGATCATGTTCCTGCATACAGTATATATTTAGAGAAGAATTAGAGACGTTTGTCTAGAATAAATGTTCTGATAAATGCCTGAAGTTCTGAAAAAAGAAGTGTAAAGTTTTTAAATAAGAAAGATTTCAATCATCATGCTAGAATAATGTAGCAGTCCTTTTTTTGGATATGCTAAGGAACATGGGATAATACATTGGCTTGATAAATTCTGAAATGTTATGGTATAAAGAATAAAAACAGTCCAAATATGAAGTGGCAGATAAGCATTGTTACCCCTCTGTTTTAGTTTGCCATGTATTGCCTTGTGTTATTTTATAAAGTACTACGGGAAGAGCTGAACCCAATCCGACCTGTAGGAAAATTTCTCTGTGTGAAGATGGTGGTTTTTGTTTCTTTCTGGTAAGTGACAAACCTTTAAAACCTTTAACTAAACAAAAGATTTTTTGTAAGTTCTGTTACATAAATTAAAATGTAAATAGATACCTATCTTACTGGCAGTACAGAGGTGGCCAAAAATACTAATACCCCTCCACTTTTTGTCAAAGAATTCCAATTTGCTGTGACATAAGTTGAATCTGACAGAAATAAATGGTATTTACTTGTGTCAGTTTCACCTTATGTCACTGAAAATTGGATTCTTTGAGAAAATGTGGAGGGGTACTAATACTTTTGGGCATGTGTATAAATAATTTTTCCTCCATCATTTTGCTAAGAAATGTAATTTCTGAGATTTTTTTTAAATACAAAATTTTATTTTATGTTTCTCAGGGTGCACACTGTGATTTCATGCTGAAATCATGTTGACATGTAAGCTCCACATTTTCTGGTCATTTTTTAAAGTCCAACATGTAGTTTGACTTAAATAAAGTTTTGTTATTTTGGTGAACGCACATTCTCTGTATACATTTGAACCAAATTACTACAATTCTTACTTCTTCCACTACTGGTTTTTTTTATCTTAGTCTTCCAAACTTTATTATATGTATTCATTTTTTTAACTTGAAAATATATGTACTGTGTCATGCCAGAATTTTTTATATGACAATATAGTTTTAGATGTGATAACCAATCTTGTTTGATAATTTCATCTTTTTAAAACAGGCAAGCTGTACTTATTGCAATATTGGTGAAAGTTGGTATTATCTCTGAAAAGCACACATGGGAATGGCAGAGTGTTGAAGCTGTAGCAACTGGTTTGCAAGTAAGTTGAAACAGCTTTTTAATCATAATATTTTATTCCCTTACATTGCATAAGCTCTCCTACTCATCGGAGCTGGGTATAAGGAGGTAAATTTCTTTCAAGCTTGTACAGTGGTACCTCAGTTCACGAACTTAATTCGTTCCACGACTCTGGTTGCGAACCGAATTGGTCACGAACTGAATCAAATTTTCCCTACCGAGGGAAAAGATGTTACTTTACCTACCGAGTGGTTTCGACCTTATTTGGGACTCGATATAAGATGTAATGTATGATATAAGTATCATACATTCTATATATTTTCAATGGGTTTTAATGGGTTTTTAATACCTACACCTGTATCAATAAGGCAGAGGTTCCTAAACTTTATTGGTTCATGACACTGTTAGTGTCTTAGTAATTTTCTCATGGCTCCCTTAGACAATACCGGCGTTCAGTGTTGCTGTGTTTCCCTCAAAAATTTAAAATGTGCCTCAGCATCCCTGTTCACTGCAGTACGCCAGAACGCTGTAATAAAGACAAACCTGGTCCTATTGGACAGTAGCTAATATAACATCTAAAGCTGTATAAGCCTGCCCCTTAACGGGAAACAGTCTTAAGGCTTCTAGTATGAGACCCAGACCAATAAAAATTACAACATAAACTGTCTAGCATGAGAGCATATGAAAAGAAAAATGGATGGTGTACCTGCATAGCTTTTATAAGTGATGCTGATCTTCCAAAGGAGCCCACAGTGGTTAGAAAAAATGATAAAAATAATCTTAAATAAAAGTAACTATTTAATAAAAACAATAAATAGAAAGAGCAGGCATTCTGAAATAGTTTAGTCCTGCAGTAATAGTTATTTTACAAATGTCTTGCTAAACAGGCACATTTTTAGTTCTCTCCTAAAAGATAGTTGAGGGGGGGGGGCAGCTTAATTTCCCCTGTAAGAGATTCAGTAATTGGGATGCTCCTGTTGAGAAGGCCAATTCCTGTTCACCCCACTGTAAGCCAAATTAACTTGTAGGATCACAAATTGGGCCTCTGCAGCTGATTGATCCAAGTGTCCAGGGAAGGCAGTTTTATAAGTATGTGAGTCCTAAACCATGCAGGCTTTATGGATTAATGCTGATATCTTAAACTGGGCCTGGCAGATCTTAGGCAATCATTGCAGTGCTCCAGAACCAGTATTATTTGTTTCCATTTAAATACCCATTCAACAGTCAGGCTAGTTGTGTTCTGTAATAGATGAGATTTCTAATCTGTGTTCAAGGTAACCCCATGGAACAAGTGTAACATCATAATTTGGAATATTTCTTGGGTATTATATTATGGCCCTTGGGACATTGTCCCCCAAATCAGAAACTAATAGCTTCTGTGTTCTAAGAGTAGGGACAGGTTTACAACCTTGAAAGAGAATTGGGCATTGGATTCTCCCCTTCTAGTTTTTTGCTGGTCTTCAGTGGAACTCTTTCTCAAGTTGGAATTTCACTCAGAAAGTCGTTCAAGAAAAAGTAATGGCAGTTGTGCCCCCATCTTAGTTGGTCATGCCCTCATACCCTTGTCAGTCTAAATTGTTTTTTCAACTGATTATATTTGGCGAAAAGCATGTCAATCTAAAGATGGTTTATATAAAAATGGTCATTAGAGTAGAAATTCCTGAAGTTTGAAGTGGCTTAATTATGGAGTGAATAGGAATAATTTTTTTTCCCCCTTAGGATTTTATCATCTGTATTGAAATGTTCTTTGCTGCGATTGCTCATCACTATAGTTTTTCCTACAAGCCTTATGTGCAAGAAGCTGAAGAAGGATCATGCTTTGATTCATTTCTTGCAATGTGGGATATTTCAGATATCAGGGCAGATGTAACAGAACAAGTTCGCAACGTTGGTAAGTGAGAAATGAGAAAATATACCTTTAGCAAATAATTAGTTAAACATAACTACTTTAGCTGTTCAGTTAGTATATTTTAAAGTTCTTTTATCATGTTTAATTAACTGCAGTGGTAGAGCTATGAGGATTTCTTTTAAAATTTCTTGTCTTTAGGGAGGACTGTGTTTGGCCAGCCAAGGAAAATGTTTTTTGGTGAGGATCATGAACAAAATGAACACACAAGTTTGTTGTCAACATCCAGCCAAGACCCAATTTCTGCTGCTGCTTCTGTACCATCATCACCCGTGGGTCACTACCAAGGATTTGGACATACCATGACTCCAACAATGCCTTCTGACCCAATAGCTGCTGATTTGTGTGATTCTGCAGCAGAGAATGAGGATTTCTCTGTTCAACCAGAAAAGCCAATAGATAAAATTTAAAACTCTCTTTGCTCAAATACCTTAGGGGATTTTCTTGGACATTATTTGCTACCTTTTTTTCTTATCTTGGAAGCACATTTTTTCCAGTAGTGTCAATTGGTTGAAGAAATACTAAAATAAGTAAGACAAGTGGTTGGGATTCACTTTAAATCTCTTGACTAAAGTGAAAGAATATGCATTTGTCATTTGATGAAATTAACCATGCATATAGAACATAGTTTTAGTGCTATAATATATACATAAATCAATATTGAATTAAAGTAGTAACAAAAATAATATGGAACACATAATGTATACAGCTGAAAAAAAATCACTGGCATAGAATTACTACAGTAAATGAATAGAGAACACTACTTGATTAAGGGAAAAAAATACGTTGAAATTTGGGATGGGGAAGGGATTTAAATAGGATTCAAATTCTGATTTTCTTTCTTCTTCTAGTCAACTTAAATATACCAGAATCTTTATAGAACTAATAAGTAAAGTCTTTAGTTGGGAGTAGTGTCTTGAAATTGTTCTTAAAAAAAAATGGGCATGATCAGTATATAAAACAGTAAAGCTAATTTGTTCAGGTTGGCCTTGTAGATTCAGTAATCTAAAACAGTGTTTTCAAACTTGGCAACTTTAAGATTGTGGAATTCAGCTCCCAGAATTCAGCATGCGGGATGGGAATTCTGGGAATTCAAGTCCACACATCTTAAAGTTGCCAAGTTTGAAAAACACTGATCTAAAATCTTTATTAAGATTGTATTAAGTATATGTTATACACTTACAGGTTGCTCTAGAATGAGTTTAAAAACATTCTAGTTAGCACTATCAAATGGAAGAAACTTGTCTAGATATAAACAAATAATTATGTTATATAGTTGTAAATACATGGATGTAATAAATATGGTTTTAAGTAATTTTCTTACAATGTTTTTTTTTTGTTTTACTATCATGTTATATGTTTTGCATGCTTGCTGTCTTACGCATCTAAAAATTTGCACCAAGACCTGTATTTTTGACATGGCATCTTGAAAAGAGCTTAATTAAACACAAGTTTTTAATTGATTTTGGAGTGGATATAATGAACTCATGCTACAAGTATTTTGCAGTATTACAGTAGTGTGTTTGTAAATACTTGGCCTTATTTACTAGACTGCATATTTTGTTTAACCTTGTGTCCTTAAGTGAAATTGGTTGAAGAGGCAAAAAGTATTTATTTATTGTCTCTTACTGTATATAAGTAAATAAAATTTTATTTAAAGTTTTATGTTGCATTTTACTAACATTGAGAAAAATAATACTCTTGGGCTGTCCATTAATAGATTGCAAAAACCTTGTTATTGGCTCTGATGAAGGATCTGAACTTCACTTCTTGATTCCAGGGTATAAAAGAGCCCAATAAGTTAGTAGTGTTTTATATTACTTTTTAAAATTAGGTATTCATACCTTGGGGTGCATTGTTTATATTTATAATCTCTGGAAATGCTTATAGGTCTAGATTAATAGGAGTTATAGGGGTTCTACGTCTTTAGCTTTTTATAAGGCTGACATGTCAACAGCATAATATTGAGCATGGGCTTCAACCCAGGGATGTTGAGCAATTCTTTTATGGATTTTTTTTCACTTCAGATCACATTAGGCAGGTTGCTCTCATGCATTCATGGCCCAGCCCACTCATTTCAATGGTAGAAGGTGATGAGGCTGAAACTAAATTTCTTTTGACCTTGGTAACTGGCCAGTCTTCAATTGCATTGGAGGAACAGGTTGGGGAGGGGGTGGAGTGAACCAGATTACACACAAACAGCAATTATCCTTCAACTCCATGTTTTTTGGCACCTGACACTTTACAATCTAATATTCAAATGCGAGAAATGAGTAAAAATTTATGCCTTTGGCTCTTAATTTTCAATTCATTAGTTCTGCTGTTGCAATTTGTATTTTTTAGGCAGTTTATAGGCTGCAGTTCTTAGCATCCTTGTTCTTTCTCTACTTTATACCTGTTTTTTCTTTTACTCTCTATCCTTCTTGTATCCCCTTTGCTTTTATTTCTCCTTTCAGGTTGGTTACTGGCAACACTGGTTTCTATACCGTACTGCTCAGCTTTATCCTTTCAGTTAACTCATCAAATTCCCAAGCAGATACTACTGCTTGCTATTGTGTAAATGCAAACATAGCTGTTCCCCATACCCTTTGTGCTTCTTACATAAGGAAAAGGAAGATCCTACGAGTTAAATTCTCTACCCAGCTGATTTGATAATATTTTTTATGCATAAACAGAACTTATAAAACAACCTGTCCTTAATTTAAAAAACTATTTAGGAGACAATAAATTAGATTATACTTATTCCATTTTTTTCAGTTGCTCTTGTGTGACTTGAAAACTTCCTTTAAAAGTTTGTTTAGAAGTAATTTGAGACTCGAATGGCTCTGTTACTTTGAGTACTTCTGCAGATGGTGCTGGCATGTAGAATCATATTTTAAGCAGGAAATGTTAAACAGGAGATTGACAAAAATATGCTAATAAAAGAAATGGCTACTGGATGAGGTACAAAATGATTATATACTTTGCTCTTTATTTTGTATTCTGTATTATAAAATATAGTTGAACAAGAACATGCCTTTTTTCCTATCTGAAACCAATTATTACAAACATTTACTGATTCTCTCAAAATGAAGACTTATAAATAGATAGGCTAGAACCATTTTAACATTATACATCATATTGTGACAAAATATTTTCAGACTCTCTTGTAAAAATAAGCATTACTAATTTCAGGATCTTTAGGAGTAATCTAAAATAATACAGTATTGTTTCCTAGTTAATTCACTATTGTTTTAGTAATCTGCAAAAAAGTAAGAGCAGGTATATTGTAGAATCCACATTTAGGTTTTTTTTACACTTTTTTACTCAGTAATTTTCTACAATGCAAAAATAAAAAAAAAGAGTGGTTCATGTATAGTATATGTTGTCCATAGTCTTTTTACAACTGAGAAATACAATTCCTGCAATATTATAAAATGTCCTATACAGAATTAACTTGTTCTGCAAATTGACCAAGTAGCTTAAAATTAACACATTACCAAGGCTATTATTAACAAAACATAGATATTAAATTTGCAATTTAGACATTAAAAACCAATCAACTGAAGCGCTTTATATCTTATTGTTTTACTACAACACTGATGTTACTTTTATAATGCTGAATACTGAGAACAAGTTTTTCTCCTGCTTGAACCTGAATGGGCTTATCAAGCACAATGGCAGCTTGTTTCCAGTGAGATGATTTGCTTGATGTATCCAAAACAATATCCTCATCCAGATATACATGATACCAAAATGGAATACCAGTCACTTGACCTGATTTACAAACCTCCACCTACAAAATTAAGATGTGTTAAATTACTGTTCAGCAGTCAACTTTTCTTTGATAAAATTAAATGAGCACATTTCTTTAAGGAAAAGCTTTTCAATTTTTCAATAATACATTTGCTGATTTCCGACCTATAATATTTAAGTTGAGTTGAAGATTCCTTCTTTGTACAACAATCCAATGAACATTATGCTGGGCTTTGTCTTCCCCTGGAGGAGTTGCTAAGATTGCTACTATTGTAGTCTCTCTGTACTAAGGGAGGACATGGGCATTGGTGGGAACGATACCATCAAGCAGATGCTGTAACTACAGTTCTTGCTCTAGTTAAAATTGAATCACTGTGATTCAAGTATATAACTGGCATGTGCACAAATGCATGCCATTTTGCCATTTTTATGGTTGGTTACGGATGCTTCTGAGGGAGGAAACATGTATAGGAACTACACAAAATTACCAATAAAAGGAACACCTTTTATTCCAGAAACAAAAACCTCTGCTCAATCAAACAGTTAACTCAGTCATATCCATTAGCAGGGACACTGTTCCTGGGAAATTGTTTAACATCTTGATTTTAATGAGTCACATGGAAAAGTACAGATCAGAGACAAATTTAAAAACACGTAGTTCATATAAACCTGTATCAAAATCTTTAGTGGAAACTAGTGCAAGAGTAAAGCTTGTCTGTATTTTGCACTGAGCCCACTCCATCATGTGTTATTCTAGTTAGTATTTCAGTAAAAGTTCACTGAGCAAGTGAAAAGGGAAAGCTAACAGGAGTTTTCCTGGGGAGTTTAACAGGAGGAAGAGAGAAGGGTGACCAGAGAAGCTCTGTGTTCTGAAGCACTGTGTTCTGAGCTGAGGGCTGAAAGGTTATCTCCTGAATAGTTGCTGATTGCTATTGTATGTATTATGATCTCCCGATTGCATGATTTTTTTGGTTGAGTAAAAAGACTATGAGGAATAAGACAGTGAAGTACCAGTGCAAGCTGACAGGAAAAGCTTGCAGGAGTTTTTATGGGAAGTTTACCCTCAAACCCATTAACTTATAATTGACTAACATTAGATCCTGAGAAAGAAGCACAAAAGAGAAGTAAGAAATTTTCTACTAGTAGTCTTTAAGAAGAAAAATAAAGAGGCAGGAGTCTCCAACTGTGACCTGCAATACTTGCGGGTTGGGTTGTCTTCCTGCCTGAAAACAATCTGGGATGCATTTGCAGCAAATTAAAGTTTGCAGCAATCCTTGATGAAAAAGTGAAAAGATTGGAACACTGAATGTTATCTTTTCAAAGAAACAAAGATATACAACAGAAACGAACAGTGAAAGCAATCTTCCACAAGGTAGAGAGACAGAGGAACAAGCCAAGTAGATGAGAGTAATATCTAGAAGCAAGAAACACTTAAGATACTCTGCAGTGCTGAATACAGAATGTTTTCATGCACCTGAGGATAAAACAGGCTCTGAATGTTCAAGGGGGAAACAGAGGATCTAAGAGCTAACAAAGAAAAGATAGAGCTACTTGGTTCAGTCTTCTCTAACAAGAAAATTATGAAGGAACAGGATTGGACTGTTCCTCCATCTTGGCCTTCACAATTTTCTTGTTAGAGAGGACTGAACCAGATAGTTCTAGCTTTTCTTTGTTAAATATTTTTTATTCTGAATGAGTTTAAATCTCCAGGACCACAGGGATTGCATTCTAGGATACTGCAGAAGTGATTAGATGGAAGTCAATTTTTTTGTGTTCACAAGAAGCCATCTTGTCCTGTGAATATATCTAGACATACTGAGTTATCTGAAGTTCTTATAAAGTTATGTGGCTACATAATTAAGTTAGCAAATTACAAGGACAGGGGCTAGAACTTGAAACTGGTTTGTATACTGATAAGGAAAGCATGAGAATAAAAGAATGTTCAGGATTTGTTGAAGCCTGTAAAAGTTTTAATTGCTGTTCCTTGCTAGCAATTGCTATCCAATAAAAAAACCCTTCTTTACCAAGACACGGAACCAAAGCATAGGTTTGAATTTCTTCCAAGTACTGAAGGAACTAGCTAATGTCTGGATCAGACCTTAATGTCTGGATAGCCCTTATCAGCCCTATTTTTTATTTAAAAAATCTTGGAGAGTTGTGAATTAGCAGATGACTGAAGTGCAAATGTAGTCCTAATCTTTAAAAAGTGAGAAAATGAAGATCCAACAAATTACAAATTGGTCAGGTTGACATCAATACTTGGGAAGTTTCTAGAGAAGATCATAAGGGCATCTTGGAAACAATGTGCTAATTACAAGAAGTTAGCATGGTTCTATCAAGTACAGTCTATTGCCATCTCTTAAAATACAACAACTGATCTCTTCTGCCCATACCTCATCTCTTATCTATAAACAAATCCTTAAAACCTCGCCCTTCAGTCCCAGTCGGCAAAAGTCCACTAAGGGTTACCAGAGATGACAACATGTCTATTTTAACCTTGATCAAAAATTTATATTGCTTCCTTTTACTTTTAACAATCTTAATCTTTGATCCCTTCAAATAATGTCTTAGAACTTGATTTATTTTAATTTTTCCTTTGTCCCTTCTCACAATATTCTTCAAAGCTTTAACAAGCTTCTTTTGTAAATCCAATATAAGAAGATTATCCAGGTTGCTCTTTTGGTTTGTTATTCATATATCTCTTTTAACAGCCAATTTCATTTATATATACAGTGTAGCATCTTTTTCCATATCATTCTCATAGTCTTTCATTTTTAAATGTTTCTAAAATTATTTATACTTATGATGAAGGGGGAAGTCATTTCTTTGTATATTTCTTTACTATATTTTTATTTTTCTTTCCTATTTTCCTATTGTTTTATTTTATGCACTTTATATTTTTTATTTTTATTCTTTTACTTTTTTTAGTT